TATTCATGAGCTGCATCCTGGCCATGCTTATTGGCCAGCGTTGTTCCCTGGCAGTAGTCCGGAGCCTGCAGGGCCCATATGGTGACCCTGGTTTAACAGCAGCTCCTGCCAGGCCATGGACAGACCATCCTACYCTTGTTTGTTAGAGCAACAAGCTCCTGAACCTAAGGCCATCCATCATAGCCTGGAAGGAGCAATGGGCAGAGTACCACCGTTGCCAGGCCCTTTGGGGGACCTCTGGTGATCTCCATTTCCATGGATTTGCCTTGAATAATTGCCAGTGTTCCCTTAGTGACATTCTGAGGGTCTGTGTATCATTTTTGGGGGTCATTTATAGCCCTCTTGCAGATTACCCCCATTCTGATAGCTACTCAACTCTGCCCCTTCTCATGACATAAGCCTGGTTCCTACCTTGAGTCTCAGCTCTAATGTTGCTTCCCAAGATGTCCCTGACCACCCAGCTTAGGTGAAAACCCTTGGGTTTGCTTGTTTGGTTTTTGACTGGGGATTGAACCCAAGGGTATTTTACCACTAAATATTCCCAGCCATTTTTATTTTTATTTTTGAGATACAGTCTTGCTAAGTTGCTGAGGATCTTATTAAGTTGCTGGGATTGGTCTTGAACTTATATTCTTCCAGACTCAGCTTTCAAAGTTGCTGGAATTACCGACATGCACTACCATGCCCAGCTAAAACTCTTGGTTTTAAATTAATTTCTCATAAGAACCACAGGGCAGAATCTTGTCTCCCCAGACTCTGTTAGGTCCCAAAGGTCTGATCCAGGGCAATTATCCAGTAAATAATTGCCAAGTGAATGAATGAATAAATGTACTACCAATAATGTGACAAGCCCAGAGCATTCCCCCCAACTTTACAGCCCACAATCCCAGGCACCTTCTGGTCTCTACCCCTGCTGAAACCCATGTAACAATTTGCCCCATTGCCCAGCTTACTGCTCACAGAACCTCCTTGCCTCCAAATTCTGACTCTTAGGACCCTCCATATGGAACTTCTCCCTCCCTAAATCCTGTGTGGCCTTCATGGAGTATCTCAAAATATGTATTTTCCAGAGTGTTTTCTGGGTCTTCCAATCAGAAGAATTATCTCTCGGTCTCTAGCCCCAGTGGACAAATCTTATGGGGAGGGGGAAATAAGGATTGCATTATCATTAATGGAATTTTTTTWAAAAAAATTTTAGTTTAGTCAATGGACCATTATTTTATTTATTTGTATGTGGTACTGAGAATTGAACCCATTGCCTCACACATGCTAGGCAAGTGCTCTACCACTGAGCCACAACCCAGCCCCACATTAATGGAAAATTGACTTCTGATTAGATTTTCTATTCTAAATACTGACTGCCTTCCCCCAATGGAGGGCCTTCTGGGCCAGCCCCAGCCTGCCCCAGCTCTCACCATGGCCACAGTCAAGCCAATCACCGTGATGATCCCAAAGGACAGAAGCATGGTACCCACGCCAGCCGTGCCATCAGCCACATCAGGGATTCTGGTGTCATTGAAGCTTGTGGCTTCTGGGCTGAGGGTGGTGGTCTCAGAAGTGGGCCCATCAGTGGCAGGCTCTAGGTCAGGTTCAGTGGTAGGTGGGTGGCTATTGAGCCAGCCYCGAGCAGACAGGATCCTGGAGTTCATGCTGATGTTGAGAGACTGCCTGTGGTCAGTCAACCTGCCCATTCACTTCTGACATCAGTAGTACCCCAGCCTATGGCTCCCAACACCCGTGGTGGCCACCTGAATAGCCACCTCCTTGATAAAGGAAGCCCCCTTCTTCCGTGGGTGCTGGAAAGGAAGAATAAACACATGAGGCTAAGGACAGGGGTGTGGCAGTGAGATGAAGTGCCTCTAGGTTCTGAAGACACAGGGAAAATAAAGATTTGAGGGCAGTTCAGGGACACAGAGACACATGCTTTATATACCTATGGTTCCCATGTAGATTTAGAAACATGAAAATGAAGTCTGTGGGTACAATGATCATAGCAATCATGCCTGGGAGATAGGAAAGATATCAGGGAGATTTGAAAGAAAAGGTCCCTCCCCTATGCAATAACACCTCTCATTCCTCCCACYTCCACCTCTTCACTCCCTGCCCCTCATATCTCTCTGTAGCTTTTTTCTTCCCTGGAGGAAAAAACTTACCTAGGAGTCATATAGGCCTGTCCTTGAATCCTGTCTAGGCTCAGCCATTTAGTGGATAACCCCAGACAAGTCACTCTACCTCTGTGCCTCRGTTTTCCTAAGCCTAATAAGCCCACAGTATTGCAGGGTTACTGAAATGCCAGAATGAACAAGTCCCTAGAAAAGACTTAGTTCAGCACAAGCCATGTTTACAGTGAGCACCCAGTAGAGATTCCACCTTTTCTTTTGTTCTAACCCAGTCAGGAGGCAGAGAGGCACAGAAGCTACTGGATTCAGAGAGCGGTGTGGTCCAGGCTGTGTGCCTGAAGTGGGGGTGGGGGCAAATGTGGGGAGACCAGGAGACGGGAAATAGAGGCATGGTTTTTCTGCAGGCTTTAGGGTCCTTGGATGCCCCCCCTTCCCTCATAGGGGAACTGGGTGCTGGTGGGAACAAAGGAGGAAGGCAAGGGGAGATTATCTTCAGAAGTAGGGATGGAGCTTCCACTTTGAAGCATCTCCCTTGTGCCTTCCCTCCTCCTCTGGGAGCAGAGATTTTCCCAGCCCAGAAAGACAGTGTGGGAAGGGGTCCCAGCCATTCTGCAGACCTAGAGGAGGGATTCCTAGCTCATGACTGCATCCCTGTTGTGCTTATGGGTACATCTGTGTGTGTGCATGCATGTGTGTGAGTGTGTGTACCCACATCCATGTTGCACCCTTAGGAAAGGACAAGGCTGGCAGAGGGACATGAGTGGGGTAGACTCATCTCTCTCTGCCATCTCTCTCCAGTTATGCTAGGTAAGGAGTCTATTCTTAGCTCTGCCACTGACCCTAGGCATGACCTTGGGCTAGACCCTTAACTTGCTCTGGGGCTCTCCTCCCATCCAGAGGAGAGAAGATGCCCTGCTGACCACTTTCTGGGCCTGCCTTGGGGTCCAAAGGGGAAGGAGAAAAAACGGAGTGAAAGGGGTCTGCGCCTGACCTCTGAGAACCCTCATGCCATTCTCCTCTAGGTCCCTCAGTCCTCCCTGCCTCAATTCCCATGCCCGCCTCCGCAACCCAGTGATTTTTCCATTCTTGCACAGAATGAGAGACCTCAGCACTTACTTAATCCTCTCCGGGGCGCCGAGCTCAGTCAGAGAGGATAGGGGTGGTGGCAGCGGGCGGGAGACCGGGCGAGGGGAACATCTAGGCCCTGCGTGGGGGCGACAGTTCGACCCCAGGTCGGCGCTCCCTGCACGCTCAGAGCTGCGGGCCGGGCCGGCTACCTTGCACGGTGGGCAGCTGCAAGCACCAGCTCTGTCAGTCTAGGCTGGGGTGGGCAGGGCCGGGACCCAGGGCGGGGGTGGGGCCAGGCCAAGCAGCCTCAGGGGATCAGCGAAGCTTCAGTGCCTAGCCTTCCGGCCCTCTCCGCGCCCCCGGACTCTGATTGGCTGCCAGGCCTAGAGCCCGTCCAGCATTGGCCTGCTCGCCTGTCTCTCGGATATGACTCCTCCCTAAAGCGGGAGCCGGGAGCCCGGAGCCAGGTAGCAATTCTCTGAGACCACCCCTCACTCTGGTGGCCTACGCCGACATCCGGCAGGGGACCAAGGGTGACCAGGCCTTTCCTGGGCCACAACTTGGGCTCCTGGGCAGCTCCAACTTCACCGGGACACTCTCGGGCCCCAAAACACAGACGTACGGAGGAGGCTTAGAGAGAGCACTGGAGTTGGAGTTCTTTGGGCTTGAGTTAACTCTAACAGGACCCTTTGCCGTGTGACCTTGAGCAAGCTGCTTCCCCTCCCTGTGTCTCGGCTTCCTATTCAGACCGGAGCCCTAGAGTGAGGACTCTGGTTAAATGACTCCAACTACCGGCGGGTGGAATTTTTATCTGGGTGGTATTTATTGGGTACCCCAACGCAGGCAAGTCTACCTATATCTCACAACACCTGAAATCCACAGCACGATCACTGCAAGAAGCCCTTAGATATCCTCTAATGCAATGGCTTTCAAAGGAGTTTATGGAGGGGCTGGGGCTGTGGTTCAGTGGTAGAGCGCTTACCTAGCAAGTGTGAGGCACTGGGTTCGATCCTCAGCACCACATATAAATAAAGATCCATCAACCACTAAAAAAAAGTTTGTTTGTTTTTTTAAAAAGGAGTTTATGGGAATCACGGGGTAGCTAGGTACAAATGCAGGTGCCTRTGGCTCCTCGGGGAGCCACGTGTTTAATAGTAGAGTGTTAATAGTGATCTAATTAGTATATTGTGGTAGGAGGTGTATTTCGTGAGACACTGCCATGAATTTTATAGAAAGAGAAATTGAGATCCAGAGAGGTCTAGGTGTCTGCACCAAGCTTCGCGACGAGTTGCTATTAGAATTAGAATTCGAACCCAGTTCTCTGGAGTTCTGCTTTTTCAGCTCCCTGCTCCAAATCCTACTAGCGAGAGAGAGAAGGTCAGGAGTGGCCCTGGGGTCCGGTCACTACTGAATCTCGCCCCACGTCATCACCCTCAGCCAGGTACGGAATACTGGGTTCCGCTCCCCCAAACTGGGATCCGTTGGGAATACTGGAACCCACTATTCCACACTGAATACACAGTGAACCACACCTTGTCTCCGCCCACAGAGTGTGTGAAACCACGCCCCTTGACATCGGGCCCGCGCCGGAACCTAAGTTAGTTGGTGACATGACCGGCTCCGGCCTGCTCCTCGCCAGCCAGGTCCGTAAACGCCTGCTCCAGTCTTTCACGGTAGGCTGGATCCACAACCTTGCCGTGACCTTAAGGAACACCTGCCAGTCTGGACCGCTAGGGTGCACCCCACACACGTCTCCGGACTTTCCCGCCCATGGAGCCTTGGGCGTGGAGTTCACAGTTAGGAACTCAGAGACGTTAGGAACGCTGAAGCTGAGTGACAAAGTCTGCCCGAGCCTTTTTTTTGCCTGCGCCGACCCGGAAACTGGGTATCCGAAGGAACACACTGAAGGCTACGCACGTCCGGAAACCGATACCGAGTGGTTTTCCGCAGGCCGGTGGGTGGGTAGGCGAGCAGCCCCGAGTGGGTGGAACAGCCCCTCTGGCAGGTGTGCACTATAGGTGGGGACCATGGTGTGTGCGCCTGGATTGCAACACCCTTGAGACCTGACCAGCCCCACCCGACTTAGTGCAGATGGAGAAGCAGACTTGTAGAGAGGCAGCCTTTTCGGGGTCATTATTAATAATGCCCATGCGGAGCTGGGAAGCAGGCTGTGCCCCATACTTAAATCTTTGGTTACTCCAGGGGCAGCGCATAGGTGGAGAGTTGCCTCTAGTGCGGCAGACCCGGATTCATGTCCTGCTCGGGACAGTTCCTAGCTGGGTGACGTTGGGAAGTTTGCTTCCCTTCCTGGAGCCTGCTTGTCTTTGAGGATGTAGCAATTAGAAGGTGCTCGGTAAACGCAAGTTTGGACCTTATTCTGTCTGAAAGTAAAGGGACCGCTGATTTAAGCCCTCAGTTAAACTTGTTTGTGAACATTTAAATGTAAAATTTTCAATTTTTTTACCTAGCTATTTATGCCAACATCTGAGATTATGGGTTAAATTAGAGGGAAACTTTCGGCTCAATGACAGGAAGTACCAAATGTCACAAGCAAATCTCCTAAACCAGGCAGTCTCCCACTTATAACATTAGTTAAAGCTTGTAACATGGAGCCCTTGCTGTGTGATAAGCTGGTGCAGGTTCTTGACATTCATGGACGAGTGCACTTCTCACTGTGGGGTTATTTCTCCCACTTTATGGACAAGGAAACTGAAAATCAGAAATAATGACTTGCCCAAGGTCACACATGCTAGGAGAAGACACAGATCTGTCCTACCTCCAAACCCATTTTGTGACCCACCACTAGCCTATTTATTAGCAGGGATAGCTACTGGTTCAGTCCACTTCACCTGAAAATGTGAAGAGAACAACTGTCTAAGACAAGAAGAGTCTAATAGGTAGGTAGGAGTCAAAATGGAGTTAAGGCAGAGTAAAAGCATGCCCTTTTTCAGGCAACTTTTGATTCTTCTGTCTTTTTCCCCCTAAGGTGGTACCCACATCTGAGGACTAGAACCATTTTGGGGAGCCAAAGCCAGTGACTTCTCTACTTCCCTCTCCTAGCACCYACCTCACCTGACATTTTAAGGAAGACTTGGAAACTGGGAGCACTCCAGGCAGCTTTTCCCCAAGCCATGAAGCTTTGGGCCCGAATGCTATGGGCCCTCCTCTCTGGCTCTGGGGGAAGGAGGGGAGGCATCCTGGGCTTGGCCTTCAGCTCCTGGCAGTCCCACCCACCTCTGCCTGGGCTGTTGAGTCCCACAGGGTTGGTCAGCCACTGGACAAGGGTCTTTGAGAAGAGAGGCATTCCAGAAGCCAGAGAATCCAGTGAATACATCGTGGCCCATGTCCTCGGAGCCAAAACAGTTAAGTACAGTATTGTCAGGAGGGCAGGAAGAGGGATGAAGGAGGGCTCTATGAAAGAGACATTGGGCTTTTTTCTTTACCATGAACATTTAGCTAAAGCTGATGGGATTTTTCTTTTCAATTTTCTTTCATTGTAGATGAATACAGTACCTATATTTTATTTATTTATTCATTCATTTATTTTATTTATTTATGTTTATATGGTGCTGAGGATCAAACCCAGTGCCTCACATRTACTGGGCAAGCTCTCTACAACCCAAATTCCTGATGGGATTTTTCTGAATAAATGTCTTAGGCAGATACTTATTCATTTATCCAACAAACTGTTAAAACATGCAGCTAGCACTAGTAATTTGGGGGTGACTAAGGTGACCAGCACTGGACACACAGGCGTTGTCCACATAACCTGGATTTGGGCCCCTAGATCAGGAAAGCCAGCTACTCACATTCTCTGTTAGTACAGTTTCAGAACCTGAAGCCAGTACTTTGGACACAGCCCCTGACTCCCCAGCAACTGCAGTGTATCCAGGTTCTGTGTAGCCGCCGATTGCAGAGGTGAGTGCCCAAGGGTGAGACCTGAGGACTCTATATGGGTAGCAGGGGTCCAGCCTCCCCTAGCCCCACCAAGTTCATGGTTAGGGAAGAAGAAAGCATCAAAGAACTAGGCAGGTATTGGGATGATGAAGTAGCAAGAGGGAGCCATGTAGTAAATAGGAAGAAGGAAGAGAGGACAGGTCTAGGCTAGGTATCCCAGGGCACTGGGTTATGGCTCTGCCTGACAGCTTTGACTACAAGTGATATTTATTCTTCAACACAAGCATGGTCCTATTTGTCTTGGCTCTGGTGCTGACCACCTAATTTCCCCCTCTGTAGGGTACCTGTGCAGTACATCCTTGGGGAGTGGGACTTTCGGGGGCTTAGTCTGAAGATGGTGCCCCCAGTGTTCATTCCTCGGCCAGAAACAGAGGTGAGTGAGTGTCCTTCCAGGACAGGATAGAATTGGGATGACTAGGGTTCATAGTATTTGTCTTGCCCAAGATGTCCTCCAGGGGGTGCTGGTGTCCCATGACAGCCATTCTCAGGGGCAGTGCTCTTCTAGACATGGGTCTCCTTGCTGGCTGTGTTGGCCAAACCAAGAAGATAGAGGACTCCTTGTTGATCCCCTTGACTCTTCACATTCCAAGCCATCACCCCAGGTCCCAGAGCTGGCTGCATCCCAGAGTGCTCCAAGTAGTGCTGTTCAAGTGCTTGCCTATTTCTGTAGGAGCTATCCTATGGGCCCATGGACCACCTAACCCATGGGAATCAAATGCCCTCTAGTAGTTTCCTAGGTGGCATGAGGGAGGTAGAAAGGGTTCTAGCTGGATGCTCATAGGAAGGTCTCTTCCCCCTCTGGGCCCAGATAATGAGAAGATTGGGCCTTCTGACCAGTGGATCTGTGGCTTGGAGGACCTCTTGGGTCCACTGTCTTGACAGGTAATCACCTATATCCATTCTTCAAATTACTCAAACTGGGAATATGTGCTACAGACAAGCTGTCCCTTGGTAAGGTACTCTGATCCTGGGAGAGATGGTTTTTGTGATCCTTCTTGGACATCTCTGTTACTTTGTGGATGGCAGAGCAGGTAATCTGAGAGAGTAGACATAGGGTGGAGCAGGCCTGGGTGGGGCCTGGTGGGGCAAGCCAGAGGATACCAAATTCTTATAAGGGTTGTTTCTATAAAAGTATCTAGCCACAAACATTCCTGGGAAAGGTCAGGATCCTTTCACTTGCCCTAGATAGAGTCCCAGAGGAAACCCTCCCGCCTTCCCACTCTCGAAGCCTCTGTCTCTCAGTCAAAGAAAGCTTTATCCCTCACCTCCACATCATATGGTTTGGAGATAGGATCCTTGCCTTACTTACCAGTGTCAGGGCAGAGGCAGTAGGAAATCTGAGGCCTTGATGGAGTCACATGGCTTTTAAAGGAGGGGGGTATGGGGGTAGTTCTAAGACTTCTTGACCCTTTACATAGGTGTATTCCATCTAGGACTGGCATGACCCAAGGTGGGTTGCAGAGACCTGGAGCAGGATGTAGCCTATCACCTGCAGGTTTTGGCTTCCCCAAACATTTAGCTTCTGGCTAGGAGGTTACTTGCCAYCCCCTGAAGCTGCCAAGGGTCAGAGAATGGGAGTGTATCTATCATGGTAACCTTTGAATCCCCTCAGAATTGACCTGACACCAGCTATGTGTTCTGGGATTTGAGTGAAGAGTATGAACTTCTAGCTTCCATTTGGTCCCCCTTTCTTGGTTGAGTGTGGACCAGGAGCACAGGTTTACTACAAGAGGTGAGGAAGAAGGGAGATGCTGTGGTTGGAAGGCCAGGTCCTCGTCTAGTTGTAGACATTTCTGAGAACTCACCAGGTTTGCCACACTGGGGCGGGTGCCTTACCAAGAACTCAAGAGGACGTGGCCTGTGGCATGGCATGGGGAAAATGAGTGCAGGGGAGGGATCATGGTGTCTGTATTCTTTCCATCCATTGAAGGGTGGTTTCTGATGATGGGTGATGAAGTCTGAAAAGCAAGATTGCAAGTGCCTTATGGCCTAATGAGTTGAGTTTTCCCTGGGGGCGATAAGGTAACTGAGTTTCCCATGTGGCAATATGTACAGTAGGAAACCCAAGGCTGGGGTGTGAGCCATCTGKCCTTGTCTGATGTGGTGAGGCAGTATGGGGTGTGGGAGGCTCAGTGCTTTTTCTATGATTGTTTTGGGGGGGCAATGCCTCCTTCCTGGGGCTCTCCCACTAGAGATATGATCCTAATGGAGCATCCTCAGGTCCTGCCAAATTCTTAGGCCAACCTACGCATGTGAATGCAGTGGTTCCAGGCAGAGCCAACAACAGCCTGCTTCTTGCCTCCTTCCTATATGTCTCTATCCCTCTATCTCACCATGTTCTTGAATTCTTCCCATGTTCACCTGGAGGAGATATCCTAGGGCTGTGACCAACTCATCTTTCAGCCTCCCCCAAAGAAGGTCTATACTTTTGGGGAAGAAGAAGTTTCTAGATTTCCTGCTGGTTCCTTGGACACTTGGCTTCTCTCTGTGCCCCTCCAGATGGCCCTATAACCAAAATGAGGTTCCTATGGTCTAGAGTGGAAAGGAGAGCAACAGGCCACTAGTGGCCAGTCTGTCAGCCTTGCACCCTACCCCGTTCACATAGGTGTCTGAGGTTGTGGGTCTTACAGATAACTGGTCAGTGTGGCTGGATGAGGGGTCATCCATCAGCCACAGTGGGCTGTCTGTGGTCAGCAAACCAAAAGAGGCTTAGGCCCCTCACAAATCTCCATCACCCTTCCAGCCTTTCAGCATGTGGCCTCACCACAGTCTCTCAACCACAGCCTTGGAGTGCACACTCTGTACCAGTTGAAGCCTATGTACTCAACTTGCTAAGAGCATTGCAGTGGTCCCTAGCCATGCCTAGCACAGGACCAGTGAATGAAAAACTTCCTGTTGGAGCTGGGCTCTCTAAGCTGAAGGCAATGGCTTTTTTTTTTTTTTTTTTTTTTTTTTAATTACAGAAGGAACTCAGAACAGGGATGGCTGGACCCACTGCCAACTTCTGCCTACTTTAAACTTGTTATTTTTGGAATGGATAAGTTTTGCTACTAAGGTATCTCAGTAGCAAAAATAAAAAAGCATCTCATCCAGGAAGGATGAGGTACTTTTTGGGACTCAGCATGACCAACTTATAAGGCTAATGAGTGATCTGGAGCTTTTTGTTCCTTTGGACCTAAATGATCACATTGGAGGTTTAGGAGGACCTGGGGGTATAAGACTTGAAGCGTGGCTTCCCCAGGCCAAGGAAAGCTTATCTAGCACTTGGAAAGCAGCCAGGGGACACCACTGCAGGCCAAGCCCTGCCAGTATGGATCAGACTCCAGGTCTTCCCATCATGGAGTCTGGTGAAAGACAAAYCCCATCCTTGATCCTAGACGAGGATGGGGAAAGTTAGGGTGGAAAGAACCTGGCTAGGAGCTGAGAAAACTTTCTGGAGAAGTTGGGTTTCTCTTCTGATAAGAGAAGGACCCACATGCTTGTCCCTTCTCTCTTTCCTCCAGTTTCCTGAGCCAGTCTTGCCCAGGAGCTGAAATCCCAGGAGTCTTAAGTCTCTTGTGGGGCTCTTCTGCCCACATTTAAAGTGGTACCTTTGAGTAGGAGCTACACTGTCCTTTCTTTGCTCTATGCCTGGCTATGCAGGACCCCTACTGTTGATTGGAAAGTTTCAGCCATAGGATAGCAACAGCTGTCTACCCCTTGCCCCATCCTATGTCAGCTTGCTTACACTGTCTCTTAAGGCAGCAGTTGAGACTTGAAACCTTCTTTTTTCCTAAGTGATTATATCTTAAAGTGTCCTCCTACTGCTAAGGTAGGTACAGTAAAGTCAGTCACCTCTTCCCACACACATACCCTTTATCCCACGCTCTTTATACCACAACTCCCTTCAGATATGTCCTTACTCTACAGAGGGAATTTCCTTTTGATCTTTGGTGTAGAGCCTCCCTAGGGGCCTCCCAGAAGCTGGGGATACCCCAGCCCCTGATTCTCTTTCTCTTTCTTTCCCTTTCTTTTTTACTTGCTTGCTTGTACTTGAACCCAGAGCATTTTGCATGTTAGGCAAATGCTCTACCACTGAGATGCATCCCCTGCCTCTTGATCTTGATTGCTATGAGCCACAGGCCATGCTCCAGGAGAAGCCTTGATCCTTGGGCTTCAGTTTCCTTGTGGGCCAGTTGTGAGGATCTAACAGATTAATACAGGGAAAGCTTTGAGAGCAGGGCCAGGCACACAGGGAGTGGCCAGGAGGCATCAGGCATGGATCTTTGCATTTTTGTGATCACAAAATGGGAGGATGTCTATAGAGTGCTTCGCTGAGGTTTATTGTGCACTTCCTGTGTGTGCAGGATCAATGTTTCATAAACATGACTTGGTTTAATCCTTACCACAGTCCCATGAAGAGGATTATCCTCTACTGTGCTGAATTTTATAGATGGGGGAGGGTTACCCAACAGTCACATACACCCTGGCCATTACAGACCGATCCTTGCTGAGGATAGCCAAGTTGCTATTGTCTCAGTAACTGACCTGAGGCATGAAGATGCAGGGTGACCAACCCATGCCYCCAGCTGACATAAAGTTCAATCTGACTTTGCTCAGTCCTCTTTCTATATTCACACAGGCACTAACTGCTTGGGTGTCTTTGCCAAGTTGGCAGGTTGGCACCAACTCTGATCCAGGCCCCTCTGCCTCACAGGAACTTGTTGAATGGGTACTGGAGGAGGTGGCCCAGAGGTCCAATGTGGTAGAAGCCCAAGGTGGTCCCCTCATTCTGGAGGTGGGCTGTGGATCAGGAGCCATCTCCCTCAGCCTACTGAGCCAACTCCCTCAGGTAAGCCCTCTCTACATCCCTTGCCTTCCTCTGGTCAGACTGGGAGTGATACGCACTGTCCCTCCCTTTGGTCCTTCCCACATCTCTTTGCTAGAAGCACGTGAGGGAAAGGATAGGAGGATTGTTTCCAGCCCAGCATGGTCACAGCCTCTAACTCTCATCCCCATCTGTTTGGGTAGATCCTGGCCAGAGAGGAAAAAGCTGTTAAGTATTTCCCTTCTCTTCTGGTGGGAGATGCTGGTGATTGGACCTGGCATCTCCCAACACTCTGTTTCCCATCATTTGTTCTTGGGGCAGAGCCAAGTCATTGCTGTGGATAAAGAGGAAGCTGCCATCAATCTGACCTATGAGAATGCTCAGAGGTAAGTAGGCTGGGACAGCCAGAGGGTCAGCATAGGGGAGTTGGATTTTGGGGCATGAACTTTACTCTTATTCAAATATCAAACCCACTGAAGTCTGATGTCTGCTCCCAAGGAAGGAGATGCAATACGGGTGGCCTGGCATGGGTCCCACAGGGTGTGAATGGATGCTGAACACTGAATATTTGCTGGTTCATGAAAGGTTCACTATCCCTTCTGATCCTTGTAGCCAAGGGTTGGGATCTGCCACCTGTACTCACCCCACCTCCCCATCTCTTCAGGCTTCGGTTGCAGAACAGGATTCAGATCATCCCCTTTGATGTGACCTCAGGTACTCTCTCCCACCCATCTTCCTTGGAGTGGGGATCCTGAATACAGGGGATTCTGGGTGGATGAGACACTCTGTTGGGGGAGAGTTACCCAACAGTCACATATACCCTGGCCATTACAGACCAGTCCTTGCTGAGGATATCCAAGTTGCTATTTTCTCAGTAACTGACCTGACCCATGAGAGGACCTTCTTCCTCCCCCATAACTAATGATTTGAACTAGGGTTTACTTGTTGACAAGCAATAAGTAAGATCAAACAAAAGCCTTTAGGGCCAAAATATGTAAGTGCCCTCCCCACCTCTGGCCTGGGAAGAAGTGGCCCAGCACTGTACAGCATAGCCTCAGCTTTTACATAGTGTCCTCGGGTTTCCAATTCCAATTCTTGCTCCATTGCATTACCATGGAGTCTCTGAGCCTCATGTGGAGCGTCATACACTTGGTATAGTAGCTGTCAAAGGGTGGGTCAAAGAAACAGAGCCATCAGAAGTTGTTGACTCTCTAGGTACTTTCAGACCATATTGGCTGTAAGGCTGTGTGGGTAGGGCTGCAGAAGACAGAGGCTTTTGCTTTGCCTAGGCAGTCAGAGAGGTGGCACTTGAAATKAATCTTGTTTAATAAGGTTTTGGCAGGAATGAGAAAGAGGTAGGACATATTGAGTGAAAAGCTTCATGTCAGCATGTCCATTCCTGACTGGGCTGCTCTTGAGGGACTCTGGACCCAAATCAGCAAATCTAGCTTATCAGGTCTAGAGGAAAATATGGCTTGGAAAGAGGCACATGGTGGCAGGTAGAGTTAATACCTTTATCTGTCAGTGTAAAGTTCATGTTCTGTGTTTCCTTCTTTGACCATAGTGGGGAGCTGGACACACCTTTTGCCCTGGGGCCCCATGGACCTGATCGTCAGCAACCCTCCCTATGTCTTCCACCACGACATGGAGCAGCTGGCCCCAGAGATCCGAAGGTGCTGGGGARTGGGTGGAATGAGAGGGCAAGCCCTGAGAAAGCCTAGTAGAATTGGTCCTCCCCGGATGACCACACCATCTATAGGGGTAAGGTGAGAGCTGAAAGGAGCAGTGGTTTTGAGAGGTACATTTACAGCCCACAGGCCCACCTTGCTTCAACTTCCACCTTTCCACTTGACTCCTGGGTGCCCTTTAATTTCCCTTAGCCTCAGTTTCCTACTTATGCAGGGGTAGTGACTATGGTTTGCAGGGCCATGGGGAGGACTCAGTAACAACTCTAAAGCACTGGACACAGTGAGGGCTCATAGAAGGTTCTCAGTAGATGTCTATGTCATTTTACAGAAGAATGAGGCCCAGAGAGGGAAGATGCCTTGTCTAAGGGCCTCTGTGGGCTTAGTGGGAAGGCTGGGTCTAAAACCCTCCTTCAGGCTTTGTACCAAGCCATCCTATTTTTTCATGAGCTGAGAACCAGGGGTAGCCAAGGACTTCCTAGGTGGGTCAATGACAATAGGGGTTGGGTTGCTCGCTCCTCCTTTCTAGGCTCTCAAGGRTGGTTAAGGTCAGCCCTAGACCTTCCCACTAGGAGCAGGAATAGCCCTGTGGTGAGGAGACCCGCACACCTTGGGGACTGTCAGTGGAATTTAGCAAGGATGCCTGGCATTGCTTGTTGGGACTGCTGCCCACAGGAGTAGGGAAGTAAAAGCTGCCATCCCTTTGAGTATCACTTTCTCTGGGTCTTCATACTTGCCTCTCAGCCCAGAATGTAAGTGCCACTGGGCCTTTTTGTGGAGGCCCTTCCTATCTCCTTATCATTTTTCAGACACACTCCCCCACTAGGGTTTCACTTGCCACTGTTTTCCCATCTAGTTATGAAGACCCAGTGGCCCTGGATGGTGGGGAAGAAGGCATGGACATCATTACCCGTATCCTGACCCTGGCACCCCAATTCCTGAAGGACTCTGGGTACGGATGGGACAGGTATTCTAGGTCTATCCCCAGTAGCCTCTTCCATTCCCAATGTGTGCTGGGCATGCCCTGGAAGTCATTCTTCCCCCACCTCTCTCAGCCCAGACAACCCCAAACTGAAAATCCCAGTTGAACCAATGTATTTCCCTTCCATGTAGAAGCATCTTTTTGGAAGTAGAACCGAGGCACCCAGAGCTCGTCAGCAACTGGCTTCAGAGTCATCCTGACCTGTGCCTCAATCTTGTGGCTATACGCAGGGACTTCTGTGAGAGGTAAGCTCTACCCCTCATTTCCCCAAGTGCACTATTTCYACCCTGTGTGCATCTGTTCCCTAGAGCGCAGGCAGTAACCAGTCTCTTGCCACTGTCTCCTCAGGCCCCGGTTCCTGCATGTCCAGAGGTCTGGGCCATAGTGTGTCTATCATTTGGATGCTTGGCTAGGGCCCCAGCCTGACTGAATGCCTGGCTAACCATTTCTTCTTGGAATGCTGCTAAGAGGGAGATGGATGGTGCTTTCCAGAAACCCAGGTGCTTGTAGCATTTCCCATTGTTCTGTGATTCCCCATATTCTACGTTTCTAGAAAACTTGGAAACAAGGATGAGGATGTGCTTCCTGAACAGCTAAGGGCAGGGACCTCTAATTTGGCTCAGAAGCTGGGCAGACCCTAGTTCCGAATCTAGCTCCATCAAATCAGAGTGGTCAAGGGCAGGTTGCTCTGTGTTCCTGTTAGTGGAATTGCTGTGGAGATATTGGGAAGTAAAGTATTGAGACTGACAAATGGTGACCCAGTGTTTTTGTTGTGATTTATGGGGCCCTGTCCTCTTAACCCCAGGTGGTGATAGGGATGAGAGCTTCCTCCTGTCCCAATAAGGCTGGCTATTAGTCCCTTGCCTGGTGGGTGGGTGGAAAATAGTATGAGGAAGGCATAGAGGCACACACTCTTAACTTTGGATACCATAGGGCCCTGCACTCCTCAGATGGACTTAGTCCTCCACTGCCCTGAGTGCATGCACACATACTTTTCTAACTGGGCCTAGCCTCTGAGCATAGGAACCTCATCAGAACTTCAACTGAGGGTTGCCTGCTTACTCCCTGGAAGGGATGGGGCTAGAGGTCTTTGACACTCAATTCTGAGTCACACACCAACATTCATTTAACTGAAGGTTTGAGCCAGTGAAGGTGATCAGGGCTTTTGTTTATTTTTATTTCCATAGCTTTTAGCTGAATATCCTTTCCAAGTTTCTCTGGATGGGGCTGGAAGAATGAGAAGCTAAGACAGTACGTACCAAGTTATGGCCTCCACCCAGYTCCTTCCTTAAGCTAGTCTGGTAGATTCATGGCAACCAGGAGGACCAAAGACCAGCACTCCTGCCAACAGTAATAGGAAACTTCTGGTTGGCAAATGTCGATTTGAAACTGTATCAGAGTGAGAACCAAGGAGACCCAGCAGGCTCATTCTGCCAGACCTCTCCCCCATGCCCTGGTACTTTCATGGGCCTGACCTGAAGTGCTTTAGCCAGAGGCAGGTGGTCTGGTGGGCAGTATCTTCTGTTGGAGTCAGTAGTGCTGAATTCTAGGACTGGGTCTTGCATTTACCAATGCAAGCTTCTTTCCTCTGTGAATCTGGCTCTTCTAAGCCCAAGGGCAATGCAAAGCAGCAGCCTCACTTTACTCTTGGTCAGCCAAGTAGAGCTTCCATGCCCACTATCCAGATGGTATTATAGGAGGTAGCCAAGTGGAAACAAGAACTTAGGTCCCAGCCTTAAGGTAGTCTATATTCCTGGAGTCATACCAGGCCTGGATGATACCCAATGCTATGGTGAGGTGAGGGGAGGGGAGTTCACCTTGTAGAGGCCATGCTGCAGGTCCCAGAGCCCTGGTGTTCTGTCCCAACCTTAAACTTTTCCACATAGCTGCTATATAAGGAACCTGGGAGGGCAGGGTAGGACTCAGCAAGCAAGGCTCCTTATTTCCTGAGCAAGCCCCCATGCCTTCCAAAGTCCCCCCCGCCCCTTTTTTTTTCTCTTTCCCTTTCTTTCCACTGTCTGTGATTTTCAGCTCTTCAGAAGCATTTCAGGGCAGCCGCCATAACTTCCTAGCTGTCTGGTACACCCTTGTTCCTCCAGCTTGGGATACACCTCTACCAGTGCTGGCCTCCTTGACAGTCTCACCCTGCTGTCCTCAGGCCCATGACTAAGGAAGGGCCTTGGCAAACATGTAGGTATGGCACCCAAGAGAGTGTAATGATGGAGAATGACAGTGAAGGGGCAGCTTGGGTCATTGGAGCAGGAACCACCCTGGGGACAACTTCCTTCCTAGAAAAATATGGGGCTTGACTCCACTGGGAAAAAGGTCTAAGCCAAGTGAATTGGCAAAGCAGTGCCTTAAGCCTGTACCCACGGACTTGATTGGGTCCTGGATGTGGAGCTGTGATGTGGAGATCTATCAGCCTGGATTCACATTCTGCAGTCTACCCCTCACCAGGATGAGACCTTGGGCAGATGACTTCACCTTTTCAGCCTTGGCTTCCAGGCCCAGCAATATGGGACCAGAGTGCTTTATTTTATAGGATGTTTGTGAGGGGGCCCATGAGCTGCATTTTTCTTGCAGGTGTTTTGATCGTCTGCAAACAAGAGAACAGACTGGAATGCCCTCCTGCATCACATGCTCAGCACTGATGTAAGGCAGGCATAGACAGTAATAGGAAACTTCTGGTTGGCAAATGTCGATTTGAAACTGTATCAGAGTGGTTACCAAGACAGTCTGGAAAGGAGGGACATCAGGGATTTCAGTCCTGTATTCATAACTTCTCTCTGCCCTCTGGAGAAGGAGCCACTGAGAGGCTGGCAGCCTACATCTCCCTTTAGCCCCTCCTCACCAGGGCCAGAGTGTCCTAAGGCTTAGGCCAGGGCAGCTAGTGGCTTCACTTAGGGCAAACCAGGCTCACCAGCCCTGTCCTCCACCCCCACCCACCCCACCCTTAGTCCTGAAGCTAGAGCCAGAGACTTGAGCCATGTTTTCTGGTACATGTCAAAGAAGACCTTGAGGCCAGAACATGTGGAGCGGATGGTACAGTCCAGGTTCTGCAAGCTCCTGAGGTCTTGAGGAATGTCCCTATTGCTCACCCAGCCTCCTTAAACATGAGCCCAGAACCTGGGTAGCAGGTATAGGGGTCCTTCTTCAAGGTACTCTGAAAAAGAATTCCACTTGTTCCTCTGACAACTGCGGTCTTGTCTCACAGTTTGGTGCTTTCCTAAGCTATCCTTGGTTTTCTTCATGGAGCTTATTGAAATGTGCTGCTTTATTGAAATGTGCCACCAAACTCCTAACTGCAAGAAATATACCCTTTCCTATTCCCTGACTCCCATTTGAACACTGGTCCATCACTTGCTCCCAATTTCTGTCCTAAACCCTTGGCTGACTCCCTATGACCTAGGTAGGGATGGTGTCTGTGTCTTGCAGAATCTGGGTCTGAAGAGGTCAGGGAGGATGGCTGTGGGAAAAGCCCTGGGAATCCCTTCCTGGCCCCATCAGTGCTGAGTAAGTGAACAAAGGGTTTGACTCTTGAAGGTTTGAGAACTGCTGGCTTAAGGTGGGAACCCATTTAACTTCTACAGACCTGCATGCCTTTTTCTTTTCCCATCTGCCTTTAGATTCTTTTTTCTGCTGCCTGGACTTCGGCCTTCTTGTATTACCCTCSACCCTCTAAACACACCTTCCCTTTGTCCTGTCAGTGCTTCCATCAGAGTGCTGTTGTTCACCACTGCCAGTTTAAGTCTCACCCTCCAATCTCCAACACAAATGCTGCCTCCTTTGGGACACCTGCCCTGACCTCTGTGTTCTCCCCACCTGCCCCTAACCTATATCTTTGCTGGTGCCAATGACATTCTGTCCCATACATTTGGATACCTGCCTGTCTTGCTTATCTCCCTGGGACCCCCTGTGAGTCTGGCATACTCAAGTTCATTAAATGTCCACAGTGCCTACATTTTCTAGGATAGGGCTGGAACTTCTCGTTTGGCCCACATCTGACCTGATGGCAACTCTCATGTATTTCAGTCAGCAGAGAGGAAGCCGTGAGGGCCTGGCTTCCTGCCTGAGTCAGGCAACTGTTCAGGTTGAGCCATGGCTGCTTTGAGGGCTCAAGTGCACCTGATCCCTGCATGACAGTCACGCCAGGAGAACAGGCTGTCCTTGGCGACAGCAGGGTCAGGCACCAAGTTTCCTGGAGGGTGGTAGTTAGGACAGTAGCCTGATCCTCCTTTAAGACTCTTCTGCCAAGGATAAGAGTCCTATACTGTACTGAGACTGGCAAAGCAACCCTGTCCTCCTCTCAGAATAATAGCCTCCAAAGGTGCCCATGTCCTAATCTTCCAAAGCTGGAACTGTTACTTTATGTGGCAAAAGGAACTTTGCAGGTATAATTAAGGATGGAAATATTGTCCTGGATTGTAATTAAACTCAGTTTAATCATAAGGGTCTTCTTTATATGAAGGAGGCAGGAATATTTACTGGAGAAGTTGTGACAATGAAAGTAGAGATCAAAGTGATGCAATTGCTAGAGGAAGGGGCCATGAGCCAAGGAATGCAGACCGCCCGACCTCCCCTAGAGCCCCAGGAAAAAATGCAGTCCTGTGATACCTTGATTTTAAGCCCAGTGAAACTGAATTTGGACTTTTAACCTCTAGAAATGTAAGGCAATAATTATGGAGGTTTTTTTCTTTTGTTGTTGTTGCTGTTGTTTTCTTTGTTTGTTTTTGTAGTATTGGAGACTGAATTCAGAGTTATTCTACCACTGAACTACATCCTCAACCCTTTTCAAAAATTATTTTAGGGCTGGGTTGTGGCTCAGTGGTAGAGTGCTCGCCTAGCATGTGTGAGGCCCTGGGTTCGATCCTCAGCACCACATAAAAATAAAATGAAGATGGGGGCTGGGGATGTGGCTCAAGCGGTAGTGCGCTCGCCTGGCATGTGTGSGGCCCGAGTTCGATCCTCAGCACCACATGCAAACAAAGATGTTGTGTCCACCGAAAACTAAAAAATAAATATTAAAAAAATTCTCTCTCTCTCTCTCTCTCTCTCCCTTTAAAAAATAAAAATAAATAAAATGAAGATATTGTTATTTTAAAAATAAATAAATAAATAATTTTAAAAAATTATTTTAAATTTTGAAACAGGTCTCACTTGGTTGCCCAGGCTGGCCTTAAACTTGTGATCCTCCTACCTCAGCTTCCCAAGTAGTTGGGTTTACAAATGTGTGCCACTGTACTTGGCTGAATTTGTGTTGTTTTAAGTCACTAAGTTTGTGGGAATTTGTTGCAGCAGCCATAAGAAATATACAGATTTTGGTGTCTAAAGTAGAGTACTGCTGTAATAAACACTTCAAAATGTAAGTGGTYTTGGAATTGGAATTTGGAAAGGGGCAGAGGCTGGAAGATTTGGGGAAGCATGAGGCATTGCCTCTCCTTTGAAAGGCAGTCTGGCCAGGGTGGAGGAACCCTTCTCAACCTGCCATCGTGAACTTCTCAAGGCCTTACCCCCATGTCTTAGCATGTTTGGAGAGAATTGGCCCTTTCTCAGAGTGAAAGGACTAGAAGATTGACCAGGGTGGGCCCCAGAGGGGCTGGCCTGTCACTGGGAGTGGTGAGGAATGGGATTGGGACCAGTGAGAGGGTGTAAGGCTGGCCTCCTTGGCCATCTCCAGTAGCACAGGTGTTACCCAGCCCTTCAGAGAGGACCTTGGAGATTGGATCCAAGCCTGGTCCTGGTACTTCATGGAGTTGT